AATTCGGGATTAATTGATGATTTAACCATCATTGAAGAGTAATGTCGAGAAAAATCATACAGAGTACGGAGCAAAAGACTTCGTGAAGAGTTGACCGAGAAAACCTTACAGCCACTCTCCATTGGTCGCCCTTGATGAGCGAAAGGTAAGCCAGGGACTGCTGGAACGAAAAGATGGGTGGGCTGAATAGTATTTTGGACTATTTTCCATTAACATTACCATTTTAAATTATATTTTAACAATAAGTCTAAAATGACACCAGTTCTACTGATATCATTTGCTTACATCAGTTCGTTTAAGTATTTACGGTATTCTGTTTGTAAAAATGACGGTTCCTACCCCCAAATCCTACCCTCAAACCCCTCACCCTTGCCCCCACCCCTGCCCCCCTCCCTACCCTGTCAGTATACTGCCTGGAAGTAGACTGCCAGGGTAGGGAGGGGGGCAAGGGTGGGGGGTTTAGAGGTAGGAATCGTCATTTTTACAAACAGAGCACTGCAGGTACCCCAAACGAACTGGTGTAAGCAATTGGTGTATAAGTAATTGGTGTCATTTTAGACGCTCCCATTAAAATTATACTCCTTCCGTAATTAAAACATTTTCCTGTTTTGATTTTTTGTCACATAATCTTTTAATTTTTAAAATATTAAAATTATACTCTTTCCGTAACTAAAAACTTTTTCTTGTTTTGATTTTTTGGTCACATAATGACACACAGAATGATATACTCCCTTCATTCCAATGTGTTTATCTAGTTTGACTTTTTCGAATCAAACTGGACAAATTTTAATAATCAATTACTCTTAATTTGTATTGTATATCAATACAATAAATTAAAATTTTAATAGTTCTTAACCAAATAAATCTATTAAAATAATTTTATACTAAAAAATTATTGCCATTTTTATTTAATTGAGGTCCAAAGTTACATCTAATTCGACTCAAAAAAACAAACTAGACAAAAAAAACGGGACAGGTGTAGTATTTATTTACTCTCTCCATCCGGACAATAAATTTACATTTCTCCTTTTTCTCCGTCTGAAAATAAAGTTTACATTTTTAATTTTATCCCACACTCATCCAAAAATACCCTTCTCTACCATTTCAATCTTCTCTCTCCCTCTCTCCCCCCTCCACCCCATTCCTCATCTTCTTCTTTAGTTCCTCTTTTCTTCTTTTTCGTTCTCCGGTCTGCCAGATCTATAAACCTTTTCAATCCTCCCTCTCTCCTCTTCTTCTTCCCCTTCTTCTTCTTCTTCTTGCTTTTCTTCTTCTTTTCTTTCTCCCGACTTTTCTTTCTCCTGACCTTCCTCTGTTCTTTCTCCCCCCAATCAAAGCTTTTGCTTCTCGAACTGGTGGTGAGGACAGACGATTGAGGACGAGGATGATTTCTTTAATGGGTAATTTATTTAAATAAGACTAAAACATAATGACTTTCTCAATATAGGATCATATGTTTTTATTTTTCAATGTAGGACCGTTGGTCATTATTTATTAGTCATTATTCAACTACATGTCTAACATCATTTGGACATTATTCTTCTCACTAGTCATTATTAAGTTCTATTTAGGGAATAAAAAAGTTTAAGCCCTACATTAGGAAACTTATGTTTCAATCTTATTCAGTGCAAATTTCATTCTTTAATTTCTTGTTTTGATGAGTTCTTGAATTTTTTATCTTGGCGAGGACCATTTCTTGTTTTAATAGGGCGATTTCTTGAATTTCTTGTTTTGATAGAGCAATTTCTTGAATTTCTTGTTTTGATGAGGGCAATTTCTCATTGAGTGGTGAGGCCTTCCGTAAATGGCAGAAGCTGAGGGAGTGGTGGGGGGAGGGGGGCTGGATGCTATTGTGTTCGGGTGGAAAAGCAAAAAGGGCGGAAAGGGGGTATTTTTGGTATTTTAAGTGCTTAGTCAACTCATAATAAAAATGAAAATAAGACAAAATGGAAACATTAATACCAGATGGAGGGAGTATAATATAAATTTAATATAATTGAGCTCATTTTAGATTATAGTTTTGATCAATCAAATTTTTATATCCTTTATTTAATTAGATTATGTTTAATTTATGAAAAAAACAAGAAAGGTTTTTAAGAATGAAGGAAATAAGATAACTTTGAAAATATTGCTAAACATTCAAATTGTTGCCAAATATACATAATGTGTTGGGTTTTTGGTTATGTTGGACTGAATTTGAATTGGATTCGTTTGAGTATGAATCATATCAAATTATGTTTGTTTGAGTTTGGTTTCAATTAGACTTTGTTGGGTTGAAGAGCAAAACCAGGTAAGAAGGTAAATGAAGAAAATGAAATGAATTATTAAATTTCTTAAATATGTTTGGATAAAGAGTTAAACCAATACTATTGATACTAACCAGCATAGTAGGCTAGAAACTAGAAAGAGATAAATAAAATTATAATTCAGTGTAATTAATAAAAAATGAAGTATGTTTCTAGGACGTGCAAGAACTTTATGCAGAGTATAATCATTCTTTATCATCATTGTTATGAGTTAAATCCAAACAAACTTTAGAAAATACGGAGTACATTTTTTTATACTAGTCGACCTATCACATATTGTTCTAACCACAAGAAACCGCGAGCTCAGACTTGGAAAGGAAATAACAAGGAAAAAAAGAAAGTACTCTATAGATGAATGACAATTTTGTCCTTATATTATAAAAGTCAATAATGTTACCTGTACACCATATTTGTACATTATTTTGTACAGTAAAGCTTTGCACAAACACAAAATACAAGTGCAACACGAGCACAATGTCAATGCGAGTGAGTAACACAACCCTATGAAAATAACTTGTTCAATGTTAACTTAACGATGTGCTCAAAAAAAAAAAACTTAACGATAGCAATTAACTTTCAAATTCTTTTGTCTAAATTGTAACCTCAACACTAAGCACTAATGCGTGCTAATTATTAAGATCAGTGACTAATGAATGCATATTAATCTTGTTAACTCATCCATTATTCTAATACTTTGTTTAAATTTTGTCTCATTTAGTTAAAAATTCATAACAAGTTAATTATGTAATAATATAGTAGGTCAATTATAAATATTACATAAAAATTATAGAAGATTGGATTAAAAAATAAAATGTGCAACATACTCTTCTAGCTTATTTTACGCACGGGTAAACATTGAGAATTAATTTTGCATTCACCTTCCAACAATTTTTTGTGTATAATATGTCAAAATGTTCATCTTACTTCAAAGAAAACATATCCATTAATTAATGGTTAAAATCATTAGTGATCCTCATTGATGGTTATGTCTAAAGATGGCCACCTTGATACTTATTAAATAACAAAAATTCAAGAGTTCACTAAACACGCAAAGTTTCTCACACAACATAGCATGCTGCATGTCATTCATATGTTCACTTCAAACAGATATCACATGTTAGAATTATGCGTACCTTCCCCAATTCCATATTAGAATGATATTGATCGTGTTTCAAAAGTGGCTATCAGCTATTTATGTTAGTTGGTTTGACCAACTAGATGTATTGGTTTACTGTTAAAATGTTTGATAAAATTAGACATTTGTAAATAGTTGTGTTAAAATTTTAAAAATAAAAACACACACACACAAAGATATATATATGTGTGTGTGTGTGTGTTGTGTGTATAAATATATACATATACATACACATATACATATACATATACATATAAAATACATACATACATGTACATAGTCGTTTCGTGGTGTTCCAAATTCAATTTTTATAGTATTATCAAGGTTCCTAATTCGATTAACCAAATCACTTTTGAGAGTTTTAAGTTTTTTTGTTTCGCTCAACCCAACGCCTATTCAATTTATTTGAATAATTTTTGTCGCGCAATAAAAAGGATATGCATTTCCAAAACATTGATAAATTGTCCGAATGGGTAAAACATATTCTTGATTTTCCATCACTTTGTTGTGTAGCAAAAAAAATATTGTGACATTTCGTTTCTCACCAGAACCAATATATATGTGTGTGTGTGTGTGTGTATGTATGTATCTCTCTCTCTCTCTCTCTCTGTGTGTGTGTGTGTGTGTGTATATATATATATATATATGATATTGACTCTAGTGAGATGACATCTTACGTTGAGATGACATGCTTCGGTCAGATGACGCAAATCTCACCACACTACACTACAAAACTCACCAATAGACAATGCAAAGCTCACCGGCGATGATCAAAGATTTGAAAAGTTGAATGTGTGTTTGTGTTTTTCTAGAGATCGAGAACATGAAAACGATAGAGAAGCGGAGAATGACCCACAAGAAAAAGGAAGCTCATCTCCCTCACTTCAATCCCTAACACTCCCATCAAACAAAACTCAATAAACATAATTATTCATATTCGTTCGTTATGTAACAAAAATCTGACTCTCCATTTCTAGAGGTTGTCCTCACAAAACAACTTCCTGTCGTCTCAATTCTAATACTTGTGCTCGAAGTTGTTCCTCGTTCACGATGATTAGCTTGCGGAGTAATATCAAGAATAATAGATGTAGTACAAAATAAAATATTATTACTTATTACCTATCCTTAGTATATTATTTTTCTATTGTATTGTTACTATAATTTTTCTCCTATTTAAATTAGAATTATTTACTTCCTGCATTTTTGGGAGAATATCTAGTATAAAATAAATTATTTTTATTTACAAATATTCAAATAATTCTAAATAAGTTATTTAGAATTATTTACTTCCCTCATATTCAAATAATTTCTAAAATGTGTTTTTTAAGAAGCCGAGGGACTCTTGGTTGAAGCATGAGTTTTTTTGTGGGTAACAATAAAAAACCAAAAAGTATTTTCTCCGCTTTTTTCCCCTGCCCAACAAATTAAAATAAAAATATTTAAAGAGGAAAAAAAGGGAAAAAAAAAGAAAAGAAAAGAAAGCAAAGCTGCTAAGGTGGAGAGAGAGAGAGAGAGCGGGGAGAGATTTTTTGACAGAAGAGAGAGAAAATTTGGGTCTAAACCGAAGAAGAAAGAAGGAAAAATGGGCAAAGCCACAACAGAAGCTGCAGCCGCCGCAGCAACAGTAGACGCCGCCGGAGAAGACAAAATGAAGAGGAAAAAGAAGAAAGGGCGGCCCTCTCTCTCGGATCTCCGGAACAGGCACGATCCGAAGCCCGTTTCCACCCGCCGATCGGCCCGCCGGAACCCTAATTTGCGTTCCTCATCTCCCCCGCCGGACTCCGACGAGGATGAGGACGAAAGGAAGGAGAAGAAAGTGAAGCTCGTCGGCCGCTTGCCCCACTCCAGGAACCAGCCACAGCATTTCGAGAATTCGCCCCTGAATTCGGATTCCGGTTCGGACCCCGACCCGGACGACGCGACCCGAGAGGAGCCCGCTAAGAATCTCAAGGTCGAAGCCGGGGACTGCAGATCTGTACTTGCTGTCCCTGATCAGGTCCCTGATTTGATGGTTTACTGATTTTTTTTTGTTTTATTTTGTGATGGGGGAGAATTGATTCCATAATTCCTCTTGAACTTCAAATCTGGGAAATTAATCAATGTATTTCTATTTTCCGAAAAATTGATGATCTTACTTTTTTTTAAATTCCTCTTTTTTTCCTTCTAGAAATAAATTCTCAGATTTATCTCTACCCCCAAAGTGATCCCCATTTTCCTTGAATTTTGGCGCGCAACCCTTTGACTTTCACGATCTGATTTTGCAAGGGCATGTGTTTTGACTCTGACACAAATTTATGTTTTATATGTAAATACACTTTTTATTTTCAATTTCCGTCTATGGCTTTCAAAAAAATGCATACGTTTAAAAAGAATTGTTTTTTTGGTCTAAACGGTTCTCATACGGAGTATTTATTAATTATAAAAATGTATTCTTGGTAGTTTCTAGTTTATGGAATTCCACTTTGGAAAATTGTACCTGTGCCTAAAGTAATTTGTGTATAAATAAATGTCTTTTTAATAAAAACTCCTTATAAATATCTGGTTTCGAGGACTCCCAGATTTTATCTTTTCTTTGATTATTCTTTACTCTGTATTTAGTTGCTGCTCTTTTTGTGTTTTGTTTTCCTACATTGGACTGAGTGTATTTAAGTTTTTGGCAATTATTGCTCAAGCTGCTGGAAATTTGTGTTCATTTTTTGCAGGCAGAAAAGACTTTGAAAGCGATGGACTCTCAACATGGTTATAATCTAATCTTTTACTAGCTGGAAATATGGGTTTTATATACATCTATTTTACATAGATGTATCTATACTCGTTGAGTCTTTTTTTATTGTTGATATAAAAAATACTTTTTTTCTGTTAAATGTAATTGCGATCATTAATTTTGTGGACAGGATCACCATTGGCCTCCGGCCCCACAAAACCTTTGCCAGACAAAAAGTTGTTGGTGTTCATTCTTGACAGACTTCAAAAGTGTGCATTTTTTTCTTTAGCTCCCTGTGACCTGTATATTCCTTGAATCCCACCACACTGTTTGCTGATGCTTGTTCCCCTTTTTTAATAACTAATGCAGGAAGGACACTTACGGTGTGTTCTCTGAACCTGTGGATCCAAACGAGGTTCGTTTCTGCTAAAGAAACTCTTCTTTTTATTTGGTTTCTTGTTTTGCTGAGCCCAATTGTCGAAATGGTTTCTGTCCAGCTACCTGATTATCATGAGATTATAGAGCACCCCATGGATTTTGGGACTGTTAGAAAGAAGCTTGATGGGCGACTTTATTTGACCCTCGAGGAATTAGAGGTTAGTGAGGACTTGAGGAGTGTTTCTTTATTGATTTATATTATCGTGTTTGGCAGATAGTACATGCATAACTTTGATCATGTTTTACGGTTTATGACTTTATGTTAATTTGCATGTGGTTGATCATGACTTTTGTGTTATTTCATTCGTCCATTGGAGTATAGATGTAGTGTCATACGCATTCACATATTTCTAAACCATAAATGGAAGTCCCATATTTTTGGGGAATCCTTCAGTTGTCATTTTCAGTATGTTAGCATCTTATCCTAGAATGGGTGTTGTTTGCATAGCAAGAGCATCATGGTAATGTTGCTGGAATTGTATGCTGTTGGGCACATGTGTATTTTCATTTATAAGAGCAAGAGAATGAATGAGCTGGAGGCTTGATTTGTCCTCTGCAATATCATGGCCTTTCTTCTCGATAAATGAGTTCTATTTTCCCCTTCTTGGATAACTCTGTTGAGGAAATACTACACTTTTTAAGTTTAATCGTACCCATATTAATTTCTAGGTGTTAAAAGCAACAATCAAAAGTAAAAGTGTAAAGCATAAACACGGGGAGTTAAAACCCAATTGGACCGTTCTACTATTATTACTCAATCTGCCCAAAAACTTTTTTACTGGACTTAATTTGCTCCGTGCCTATGAAACTTGGACCCATTTTAGTCCTTATACATATATAGACACTATTTCTTAATTTGGCCCTCAACTATGTAATTTCGAGCCAAATTAGTCCTTAACATACTAAATTGAGTCTAAATTGCATAGTCAAGGATCAAACCAAGTCCAAGAGGACCAAATAATGTAAGAGTGTATATTCGATGGGCCAAATCGGGTGTTAAACATAAATACGGGAGATCAACTCAGTCATCCTAATTTTTTCTCATATTGGGTTGCTAAATGAGCACTTATTATGAACAAAATGTATTTTCTTGATGGACACTTATTTGAGATCTTGAGGTATTTTTTTGATAATCTTTTGATATGTAGAAGTTTTTAGCGTATCAAAACTATGGAATGGGGATTTATAAATGATAACTCAAAATTTAAGTTTGTTATCCTACATCACTTGTTAATTTGGTTTTAATCAAGTATATAACCGTGAGGTGATTATCAGTTCTTTAGGATCCTTTTTGAATGATGTAGACTGAATTTAATATGGTATCAATTCCAATAGCCGGTGTGGGCCAATTAGCATGCTTCATGCCTTAAAGCTTTCTCTTTAAAAAAATGGTGAAGAAAAAAAAATGCTCTTTAGCTAGTTGAATCCCATATCATCTAATCTCTCTTGGCTTCACCTCTATGCATAGATCTCCCTCATTCCATCATACATTAATCTTCATTCGGCAGTACATTATTTAATGCAGGCTGATGTGCTCTTGATATGTTCAAATGCGATGCAGTATAATGCACCAGACACTATTTACTTCCGGCAGGTAAATCTAATTTGTTGGATGCCCAATTTCTTTGTTTATCTGTAACTTCATTTAAAAAATTGACTATTTCAGGCACGGTCTATTCAAGAACTGGCAAAAAGAGACTTCGAAAATTTGAGACATCAGGGTGAGGATGGTGAGCCTAAGGTTGTTCGTAGGGGTAGGCCCCCAAATACTAAAAACACAAAAAAGTGTTCTGAGACGTCTCCCGTTGGCCGTGTGGGTCCCGAACATTCATCTGGGGCCACACTTGCCACCATGGATGATAATAAACCTGCTGGATCTAACTCTTACAATTTGAGAAAGGGACAGCCGGTTTACAGGTATCGGTCTAATGACTTGTCTTCGTATCGACCACGAAATGGCGAGAGTTATGCAGAGCGGTCTACTGATTGGAATGAGGAGTTCCCAGGTTTCTACATTTTTTTTACTGATTTTACTGTTTCGTCTTTTATTGTTGTGGAACAATTAAGATTCAATGCAATGACTTTTTTTTTAAACTTACTGTCTAGCTTCCATTTTGAGGGCTGATATGAAGTATGGAAGCAAACACTTTGCAGTTGATGATAACAGGCGTGACACTTATAAGCAATCCAATTCCTCAGCTTGTGGAAACGAACTATCATTATTTGACAATGCATATGGAAATGTCAAGTGGCTAATGGCTGTATGTATTCCGAGGCTCTTACACCTCATTCTTTATGCCCCCCCCTCCCCGAGTGACAACCCATTAGGCCTCGTTCGGACTGGGTTGGTTGATTGGCTGAGACTTAGATTAGAAACACGTTTGGAATAGCAAGAATTCACCTAATTTCCAGGGAATTGAACAAAACCCATGGTATAGTAGAGGCATGTGATTCAAGAATTGAGAATTCCGATTTCAAATCCAGAGATATGTGATTCCTGTGTGAATTCCCTTATTCCCGTTAAGTTGAGTGTCTAACCAAACAAGGCTTTCTTCCTTTAAATGAACTACTGCAATGAATGTTATCCCACAGGACCTAATTGCTGTCTGATACTTGCTTCCATTTCTTTATGTTAATTGAAATTTGAGGTTTTCGTAACCTGGCATGACAAGTTGACAACCCTTTTTTTTTCATTTAGGGTGTGTTTGGTAAGGGTTAGTTGGATGAAATAGCTGAGACTGTATTTTAGGGTCGGTTTCGTAAGGATTTATGGCAATGAATCTGCTACCAAACAGGGCCTTATATATCAATTTATATACTACTTTTATGCTAGTGTTGGAGTTTGCTCATTGGTCTCTATCATACTATGCAGGTAGGGCTTCAGTTGGAACAGCATGCTTATGCAAGAAGCCTTGCTAGATTTGCCGCAAATGTGGGGCCCGTCGCCTGGAATATAGCTTCAAAGAAACTGCAGCACGTTCTCCCTCCCGGGGTCGAGTTTGGTCCCGGGTGGGTGGGTGAAGGCGGCGCTGCTCAGCCACACCCATCGCACCTTTCAGCCGAGACTCAGAATTCGCCAAACAGACCTCTAACACCGCCTTTCCCGGGCACATCCTCCGAGGCCATGATCGAGGCGGTCAGAAGACTGAACTGTCTGAATGAGATGGCGGAGCAGCGCGGTGGGGCCCGCCCAAAGCCCGTGTTCCACCCGAACCGGAATGGTATGAATGGCATGTTCGGGTACGACCTTAACGTCCGAGTTCAGCCAGCGGGCCCCGGGTCGCCGAGTACTAGTAGTATCCAAATTGGTTCCCCAAAGCAGCCAGACTTGGCTTTACAACTATAATACAGAAACTAGGGACTTAATAATTATGATGCTAAGGTAGGTGAGTAGTGTAACATGAAGCTGTAGTTACTTGGGAAATCTTGTACAGATTGCTATGTATTTTTTTAAATTTTAATTTTTATTCTTTCTTTTTGGATTGAACTTTGAGATTGGGCTAAGATAAAATTAAAGGAGAGCTATAGAGAAAACTTTGAATTTCTTTTAGATTATAATTGGTGTTTATAACTTGATATCGCTATTGTCCCTAATATTTTAAGTTATAATTATAATTATAATTATTATTACTACTACTATTACGTTTTTTTTATATATTTGTACATTCTCAGTTTATTAAAGCACGTAGAATTCTTGCTCTTATCGAGTTTGAACATGTGACCTCTTATTTAAAAGAGGTCCCTTGATGCTCATTGAGGACAAGGTCTTTGGCACCACTACGTATTACTTATTATTATTATTATTATTATTATTATTATTATTATTATTATTATTATTATTCCTCCGTATTATTATTATTATTATCATTATTGTTATTATTATTGTTATTATTATTATTATTTTATTATTATTCTTGTTGTTATTACTATTAATATTATTATTATTATTATTACTCCTTTCGTTCCAAATTATAATGCGTGTTTACTATTCACAGGGTCAAACTTCATTCACTTTCTTTCTCTATTTTCGTTATCACTACTAGTTTTGTAGATCTTTTGATGTAGTTTTTTAATATGTAATTTTTGTTTTTTAATTCTTACCATTTGTCATATAAAATGGTTTGAAAATAATTTCAGTCAAACATCGTAACCGAAACATGCGTTATAAAATGGGACGGAGGTATTATTATTATTATTATTACATAACATAATAGAACTAAAACATTAAACATATAGGAGCTCTCCCTACACATGGGGAGTATCCAAAATTCGAGATAGAATCTCCTACATTTTCATCTTTTAAATAGGAGCATTGACACTGTGCAATATCACAACTTTGCATTGCATGTTGGCACTTTAATTTCTGCATTATACTCCATATATTACAATTGGAAAATTTTACCGGAAGACTCCAAAGAACGTGTGATTTTATATTTATACTCCGAAATTGAATAATTGACACAAATACACCACTGCTTACAAAAATCACTCAATTTTATACCATACTTTGACTTGCTAATTAAGTTGAATATGTGACATTTTAGATAATGATAATTGAACAATAATTAAGTATGTGTTAATAAATAAATTAAATTTAATGCATTATAATTAACCACCCTCCCCCATCGATTTAACATAAAGTGTGTTTAAATTTAAAATTGCAATGTGTTTATATTATTATCAAATAAACTATGAATAGTGTTTCTAAATGAGAAATTAGAGAATTTTATACTCCGTAGTTAATATTTCGTAAGATGTATTTTTGAATTTATCTCTTAAATAACTATCCATACTTTTGATCATAAAAATTAACTTTAAAATATTTTATTTTTTATCTGAAATATTATTTAAAATTTATATGATAAAAATATACATATTTCAATTTTTTAGTTTGACCTAATTTTAGAACACATTCAAGATATTTTCTTTATTTTTTATTGTTTACTATCTTATACATAATAATGGTTTAATCACTATTTAAAATGTCGGATATTCAGCTTAGTTGACAACATGAGGTATTGGTATAAAATTGAAAAAATTCTCAGAGCAATGGTGTTTGTTATTCAATTTCAAAATAATAACGTAAAATCACAAATTTCTTAGAGTGTTCGTATAAATTTTTCCTTAACATTTACTCCGTATTTGATAACATTTATTTGAAATTATAAAAATTCTATAATTTTACTATCAAAATATTGCATTAGCCACATAAAAAAAATCAAAACAAAGGAAATGGATGAGACGTACACTAGTTAATGACCTCCATAAAAGAATTCAATTCACAAGAAAGAGATGACTAGTGTTATTGATCACGAATTGATGCCTCATTTAGTATCAGCTTTAGGAATTATTGTTAACGTTTTGAAAAAACTATCTGATGGTAGTTTTTAGCGTTAACGTTTTTCGAATTAATCTACACCATTAGTATTTTATCTAAATCGCTAATGCTAATTGAAAATACTCTTCCCAAACAAGGCTTGAGACCAGAAAAGATGGGAGTAAATTGGTCTATGAGACTGGTCTGATCTTGGACCGATAGTCTCATGCGGTATTTGAATTTTTACGAAAGATTAAATCTGTCTCGAATCAAATAGTTTTTCTGAAAGATTAGACCGAGACCGGACTAGGACTAAAGATCTAATGAATTTGAAATATAATTCTTATGCATGAATATTTACACTTTAAAACTTAATGTTTATATAAATATGCTTATCCTATCAATATAAAGCATAACACATTACATAATTTTCTTAGAATTTACAAATATGTGATAACAAAAAAATCTCATATGTATAAAACATACGTATTAATAACATTTATTTTTCGTTCCATGATTATTATAACTTCATAAGGTATAAGAAAAAAGAAATTAAATAATTGAAAATATTTTTTCTATTTTTTACGAGATTTTTTTTTGAAGAACAAACAATCAAGAATTTTATAAATGAAAGACCAAACCCGACTTGGAGTGGGATTAATCCAAGATAATCTTGAAAAGTTGACTTCTTGCCACTCAAGTAAAGAAAGAAAGCTAAATCCCGTATTAAGCGGATCAAGAAAGCCGGACCCGGCCCATATTCAGTTAAACTCTAATTTTAGTTAAGTTTAAGGAGTACTAAACAGAACAATACAAAACCTAAAATCCCCAAACCACTATTCAGTCGTCTTCCTCAACTTGAATTCTTGATTCCTTCCTTAAACCTATATTCCGATGGCCGGAAAAGGTACCGGAGTGAAGTCAGCATACGTCGCCGTTTGGGTCCTCCTCTCTTTCCTCGTGCTCTGCCAGCGTTACTTCTACGACGCCTCCGCTCCCGTCTTCGGCGTCGCTCCGTCGCGAAGGGCGGGGTTCAGGGCCAGTAATATCATCAAAGAATACGTGGCCGGAGATCCTCCTCGCGCGGGCCCGCTCGTGATCCCTTCTTCTGCCGCCGCCGCGCCTCGCTTCCCGGCGGTCTCTGTTTTGGTGCCGGAGTGGCAGGTCTTTGTGATGGCGGAATCTTCTCCTCTGGCTGTGGAGGTGGACGATCCTTACGTGTGTCTATTCGAGAACGGAGCCACGTCGCCGGCCGTTTTCACCGGTGTTTTGCCGTCGTCTAGTCGGGCTCTGCTGGTGTGCGATTTGCCCGAACGTTTTCGCCGGTGGAAGAAGATTAAGCAGCCAGTTTTGACCCGGTCGTCGTCCCTGGTCAATTTAACGTCAGATGCCACTGATTCGCAGCCGCCGCTTCTCCGGTGGAACTACCTCGTCTACGACTCTCTCACGACGGAGGCCGACGTCGTTTTGTTCGTCAAGGGCGTCAACAACCGGCAAGGGACCAACCGGGACCCGTCTGAGTTCCGGTGCATGTTTTTCACCGCCCAAGATCCGACAGCCGCCGTCAGAACAGAGGTCACCAGCGCCGTACAAGAAGTCTTCCGCTGCAAGCGCCCCGAATCCCTTGCCGCCGGAGAAAAACAGAGCATCATCGTCTCCCTGGAAATCCTCAGACCCACTCCAGCAATCGTCCCCTCGGTGGCCTTCTACAGCCCTCCGCGCCACCTCGCCGCCCCCGGCGGCCGGAAACACACCGTCTGCGCCTCCACCATGGTTTTCAACGTCGCAAAGAATCTGAAAGAGTGGGTTCTCTACCATTCAAGAATCGGAGTCGAAAAATTCGTTCTTTACGACAACAACAGCGAGGATGAACTCCAAGAAACCGTCGGAAACCTCGTACGACAAGGATTCGACGTCACCACTTATTTCTGGCCGTGGCCGAAAACCCAAGAGTCCGGCTTCTCCCACAGCGCCATCTACGCCAACAGTTCGTGCTCCTGGATGCTATATGCCGATGTGGATGAGTTCTTTTACTCCGACTCCTGGACCGACCATGAAATTTCTCAGCCCTTACAGTCTATGTTTCCGGTAGATGCTGACGTGGCGCAGCTGAGCTTCCCTTGTTTTGAGTTCGGACCGTCCGGGAAGAAGACGCACCCGCCGGAGGGGGTGACCCAAGGCTACAACTGTCGTCTCCGGCGGGAAAACCGGCACAAATCCGCGGTGCTTCTGGACGCGGTCGACCGTTCCCTGCGCAACGTCATCCACCACTTCATCATGATGCCCGGGTACAGAACGGAGAGGCAGGGTAATATAGTCATCAACCACTACAAGTACCAGGCCTGGCCTGAGTTCAGGGCAAAGTTCAGGCGGCGGGTCTCGGCTTACGTCATGGACTGGACCAAGCGGGTGAACCCGAACTCAAATGACCGGGCTCCCGGTCTTGGGTACCAGGCAGTCGAGCCCCCGGATTGGCCCAAGATGTTTTGCGAAGTTTACGACAATGGGTTGAAATCGTTGGCCCGGAGATGGGTCGTCATTGAGTCTCCCGACGGTTTCAGGCTGGCTTGGCAGAGTTGATGTTCCTTCATGTTCCCTGCATCTGCTCTCAGTTGCCTCAGCTTCATCTTGGGTTTTCTCTTGCCAAAGGTAACCAATCCTTTTTTCTTCTTCAATATGGATAATTTGCTTAAAAGCCATATTTGCTTCTTTTTGCCTATATAATCTGAACATGGATTTGGGTATTTGTTAAATTTGTTTTTGATATTTGTTTACTTTTTCACTTCAAATGCAGATTCTTGACATAAACATATACATACATATGACTTGTTTCCATATTTATAAATGCCCAAACACTATTTTTCTCTTGTTCTTTCAATACCATAATGGAATGTGCCAACTGTTTTGCAGCCTATCAAGAATCATCTTCTGCTTCATTGAACACCATACCATCTTCAGGAAAGAATGAGCTTATTTGGATGTATCAGGGAGTCCCTTTTCCTCTTAATGCATTTCTCCCAAATCTGCTTGTGTGATGATTGTGTGTTTTCAAAGCCCCCTTTCCCTTGAGCATTTTTGCATTGCTTATTCAAATTATTCTTTGCATATTAGTTGAAGTTTACTTGGCATTAATCTCTGCACTTTAGGCAGTTTTTGTGTGTGTGTGTATGAATCATGATAGTTGCTTTTATCTGCAATATTCAAAAATGTCTGCAAGATTTACATCAGTTTGTTAATTATTTTTCTTGGCCCGAAATTTCGAAAATTTAGCTTGGGTTTTTAACAAAAATAGGCCAATTTTTAAATTTTTAGAGTTTTGTTCAACTGTGCAATCATTCTAGCTGTCTAATTTTTAAGTGTAAAATCAAATAGGGTGCTCCTTGGTTAAGATTTTTTCTCCCTTGTTTAGTAATGTAGCCAATCCATGGTCCAAATAAAAATTCATTTGCTACTGTTCCTCTGCCTCTGTTAAGAACACAACCTTTTCCTTGAGAACCCAAAAAGAGACACCCTAGCTTAGTAAACATTGGAACTACTTAGCTATCCCTTGGTGAGACCTCAAAAGAGCAGTATCGAGGCGGGTCAAAAAGCTTAAGCGCAAAAGCGCGATGAGATGAGATTCCTTACTCCAAAAGCAGATACAAAACAAATACGCGCAAATATACACAAATCAAATCCGGGTAACGAGACCCTTTCAATATACAAATCAAATCTGGGTAATGAGACCCTTTAAGGGATAGGGAAGTCAAAAAGCTATAAGTGTGAATAACATGACGAGATGAGACAAAACTACCGTCCCAAGTGAATAAATATTATAAAAAAAAAGGTCAACACGACAAGTGCTAGCTAGATAGTCCCTCTTTTTGCTTTGAAAGGACTATCCGAAGTAAGTTTTCGGGGAAAGAGGTAACGTGAAATATTATTTAGGGCTTGACGATGGTCATCTTACTATCCGAGGCTAGAGATTTTCTTAAACGAGGAGCGCTCTAAGTGACTTTACAAGTCTGCATTAGCTAGTTAAATTGGTTGAATATGTTTCGAGCAAACTTCTATTAATCTAACTGTTGGAATGTGGTTGTTGGAAATCTTTGCGACGTGGACGTCAAGTTGAGCCAATACTAAGCGTTAACGAAATTTTTGTTATCTTGCAGCCAGCGTTGAATCTTGTAATTAAAACTAATTATCCCATGTATGTGACTGTGTGTGAACATTGGTGGCTTTGGATTGTGTGTGGTTATGAATGTGAACCAGTGGGTTAAGTATGAGTTTTGTGGTTAATAAGGTTGATTTGCATATATATATATTCCTATTTAGAGCATTGTTTTCAAAATTGACTCAAAAACCTCAATGTTTTTTCTTGGGGATTTATTCGGAAAGATGGCCCAGTGTGTCTTTTATAAACTCACGTTGAGTCTTAATGCCCTTTTTCTTGGTAAAACGACCTTAAAAAAGTTTGAAATCCTTGTAGCAATACCTTAGGATTTTGTTTTCTAGAACCGGCCTTCCACATACCATCTAGATGCTGCTTAATCTTCATTCCTTGGTTGATTAAAATCTGAAAAAAAGAAACCGATTTTAGGAGCCCTTTTAATTTAGAAAACTGTGCGATTTTTATATTTTTAGGCTTATTGATTGACCTTGCTGCCGCTGCTGTTGAGCCATTTTACCCCATAAGATTCCGTTAGGAAACTTTTTTTGCAGCAGCCTTAGAGCATTTTTAGAACCCAAAAGAACCCACCGTTTAGCTCTCGTTCCTTGTAAGGTTTTAGTTCACCGTTTCTTCAAAATGTGAATGGGCGTAAAGTCTCAAATGTGTGGGTGTAAAATGCATTTCGTCCTTCTTGGCGATGATAAATTTGAAAACTGTTTTCTTTTTTGGTTGATTTGCAATTCAGCCATTACATCCTTTGCTTTTGAGCTTATTTTAATTGGCTTATTATTCTGCTTATATTAGCTTATTGTAATTGACTTTTTTTAAAAGAACTTTTTACAGGTTCCATTTTGAGGGCTGATATGAAGTATGGAAGCAAACACTTTGCAGTTGATGATGATAACAGGGGAGACACATATAAGCAAATCCAATTCAACTGCTTCAAGTGGCATGGCAAGAAGATTATTGCACTGTGATTTACTTTTGGGGGTATTTTTGTCCTGTAATTTAGTTTAGGTGACGGGCGGAGTTATAAGCCACTTTCTGGGTTTTCTACGGTTCTTTCCCAGATCGTAAAAAGAGAGTCGAACCGAATAGGGTCCTTAGATAATTTTTGTGTTGGAGTTCATCGTTTCTTAATAATATATCGGAACTAGTTTTAGCTTCGTGTTTTGCACTACCTCATATATAGTCTAAAATTTTTAAGATTCTACTAAACTCATCTATCCATCAACTGTCAATACATTGTTCGTTATAAGTAAAAGTTTTTTGTTCATTAACTTTTTGAAAATGAAAACTTATTAAATACATAACTCAAGAAGCATCTTAAGAAAATAACAGATTAAAAAATGATATCTATGATGGAATTATGCAAAGAAATAAGTTTTCAAAGTACACACGAAACTCTTTATCAATTGGGACATTAATGATTAAACAATAGAAGAGGCAGAAGTACTCAATAAAGTTAATATTTGAAAACTTTATGTAACTATTTTATCTATAGTTTTTTTAAAGTTAATAAAGTACTCAATATGCAACTATTTTATCTATAGTTTTTAAATAGTTAAAATTATCGATGTTTTCATATTCTACTCCAAATGGAAGAAAATAAATGGTATTATTCATATTAAAAAATTGAAGAAAAAATAATAATGAGTGAATCATAAAAACAATGAGATGAAAAAAAAGAAATAATTTATAAACTATAGTTATGAACATAATAATTGTAATAATAATAATATGTCGTTTTTAGTCGGAAATTAGAAAAAGTTTGAAGAAAATAAAAACTATTGGAAGAAACTAAAAAAGCTGGAAGGAACTAGAAGAAACTGTAATAACTGGAAGGAACTCGAAGGAAGTGAAAGAAACTGTAAGGAACGGGAAGAAAATAAAAGTTTAGAGTTCAAGTTCTAAAGAATAGACTCTTAAATCTTGCAGAGATGATATGTGTTTTGAAATTTGAAACAAATTTGTTTGAAGATATTTAAAATCATGATCATTTAATTAGTGATAAATGGGGGTGACCGACAATGGGGTGGTTGGCAGTGACAATGTTAACCGGTGCCTGGTAGCGGGAAATTAAATGATCAACAGTTGAGAGATATAACAAACTCCATATTGATATCTCCCAAATTCTAAAGATATCAAAACTCTTTATTTTAAAAATTTATAATATCTGAAAATATTGATTCGATATCTTTTTTTCCTTCACCAAGCATGAGAAAAAAATTTTGATATCCGAAGATATCAAAACCTATATATCATGTTTGATCACCAAATACACTTGGAGGTGTTAGATAAAACTATTTGAAATAAACCAAAATGATATAGTGTTTTTTTGGCAACTACTTTAATGGTTAGTTTTAATATTTTGGATATAGTATTACTCCCTCCGTCCCTAAATATTGTCACACTTATATTCCCGAGATAAAATATCAAACATTTTCAATTCATTTTATTTACATATTGGTATAAAAATAAAAAATAAAATTTACATATCAAAAAACTACATGAAAATTTCTTCGAAACAAGAGGTGATAAGAATATTTTATTTTATCAAATAACCAATGAAAACGAAGAAATAAACAAAAGTTTCCGCGACTGCTGAAAAAGCAAATGTTACAAATATTTTGGGATGTAGGGAATATTTAGAAGCACAGTTTGACCTTATTATATCTATAAAATTAAAAAAGATTCAAAATCACATTCACTAAGATGGATTTTGAATCATATAGTTTACATTACTTTTCATATGGTATCAAAAAAAAATATTAGGCTCCGTTTGGTACAGGGAATTCAAATTATAGAATTAGAATTGAGGACTTCAATTCTAATTCTGATGTTTGGTAGCACAAAAATTATGTGAATTTGGAATTGATAGTGGAAAGAATGAATAGGAATTAGGAGAATTCAATTCTATAGAATTGAATCCAATAGAATTTCAATTCCAATTCAATTCCAATTTCATAGTTTGAATTTCATGTAGCAAACGGGACATTAATGCACTTACACTGTGTAAAAGTAAATAAATATTCGTTCTAGATAAGAAGTATTCAAATATGAACCAACTAAAGTATAAATCTAATTTAAATTGTTTTTCACATCCAGATTGTAATTTGTATTAGAAGATATAAAAAAAACTCACAAATTCAAATGATTTAACATTCGATTCCATTCGTTCACGATCATATAGTCATATATAAAATCAAGACTATTAGGAATTATGCTTCGGTAACTTATGTAAGTTATGCTAATCCTTCAAATAATGGGATAAATATATTAGGTTAACGATATTTTTTAATTGCCAAAAAAAAATCCAATTCAGAAGGAAAGGTATTTTAATTACTCGGTAATTAATTAAGCTAATACCCTATTCAAAAAGAAATTAACAGAACCGTACCTAAATCACCATATTACTCGGATCAGGAAATAAAAAATGGAGTACCAAATAGTCGACCCGACCCGACCTGGCCCACATTCCGTTCCGCTATATATACTATATATATATATATATATATATATATATATATATATATATATATAGTATTCCATCGTCTTCCGCAAGTAAACAAATTTCAGTTTCGATTCTTTCCTTAAACCTCTTGCGATATGGCCAGGAAAGGTAGAGACAAGTCTGCATACGTCGTCGTTTCGATCATCCTCTTTTTACTCTTCCTCTACCACCGTTGCATCTACGACGCCTCCGCTCCCGTCTTCGGCGTCTCTCCGCCGCGGACGGCGGAGTTCCGGGCTAGTAGGATCATCAAGGAAGATCCCGGCGGCGATCCTCCTCGCGTGGGCTCTCTCGTAATCCCGTCTCCCGTCCCGGCGGTCTCCGTTTTGGTGCCGGACTGGCAGGTGTTTGTGATTGTCTCGCCGGAATATTCTCCTCTGGCTGTGGAGGAAGACGATCCCTACACGTGTCTCTTCGAGAACGGGGCCACGTCTCCGGCGGCTTTCGCAGGGGTTTTCCCGTCCCCTGATCGGTCCTTGTTGGTGTGCAATTTGCCGGAAAAGCTTCGCCGGTGGAAGCAGATTAAGCAGCCAGTTTTGACCCGGTCGTCTTTCCTGGTCAATTTAACTTCAGATGCGACTAATTCGCAGCCGCCGCTTCTCCGGTGGAACTATCTGGTCTACGACTCTCTCACGACGGAGGACGACGTAGTTTTGTTCGTCAAGGGCGTCAATAACCGGCAAGGGGTCAACCGGGATCCGTTTGAGTTCCGGTGCACCTTCTTCACCGGCGATGATCCCACCGTCGCCGTGAAAACAGAGGTCACCAGCTCTGTTCAAGAAGTCTTCCGCTGCAAGCGCCCTAAATCCCCATCCGCCGGAGAAAAACAGAGCGTCATCGTCTCCCTGGAAATCCTCAGACCCAATCCGGCGAT